GAGCCCCCAGCCCTGCCGCAGCACCTGAGGGTCCTGCAGAACCAGGAACCAATTTGCAATTTCAAGGAAAGGACGTTGGGTCTAAGGAATATAAGAAAAAACGTGTCCCTGAAAAGTCTAGCCAAAAGCCATCTCCCGCTCTCCCGGGTAACAGCACCCACAGCTGCAGACTGGTGCCATGGCCAAAGTCAAACACACCCCAGCACCGAGAAACCACGAGCTCAGCACCAGGTCTGCAGCTGGAGCTGAGCCCCAGCGCAGGCAGAAGTTTCCATCCCTGCAGAGGTGACCCCCACCACAGCCAGCATCGCTGCAATGTCCTCTGCCCAGCCAGGTGTCAACAGAGGTGTCACGCGGAGAAGGGACGTGCTGGGATGGACCTGGGACAGGAGCTGCAGCAGCCCAGGAGCGGCCGCGGCCAGGCAGTGCTCATGTGCCCCCCGCACCAAGCCGTATTTTTTCTTTCTAAAATTACTCGGCTGAAAATGTATCTGCTTCGCACTATTTAATCTTCTCCGTTGCCAGCTGCTGGTTTTAGGTCATTCACTTTTCAATGAATTAAAAATAACCTTCCGTGCTGCAGTGAGGCATTTGTCCGTCGGCGCCGGGTGCCTCATGCATCACCGTGTCAGCAGAGCCATCCGGACACCGGGCAGGCACCAGGAGGGTCCCCGCGCCACCCCGGCCCCGGCAGCGCTTGCTCTGAGCCTGCAGGGAGGGGGATGCAGGTCCAGAGATGCGTTTGCCCATGCCCAGCGTCAGGATTTCAGACCAGGATAATAACAGAGCCTGGCTGACAACACACCTTCACCCTTTAAGAAAAAAATCTAACGATTCAAAAATCTTCTCGTGAGCAGAAATACCCAACCTGACCCAAAAGCCGCCAGCGCAGACAGCAGTAGCATCCCCAGGCACCCCCGGGCACCAGCCTGGCACCGCCAGGACACATCCCGGGGGCAGAACAGAGGAGGGGACAGTTCAGGAGCACGGCACAGCATCAGAGCCTTTTCCAAGATGTCTCTCGACAAACTTGGGCCCCTCCAGTGCTGGTCGGTCACGGGCTGCTGCCGGTGCATCCCCACTTCAGAGACACGACAGGGCAATTATTAATTAAAATTCCCATGTACCCGCACTGAGATGGTCAATAATTTATGCCCGTTTCTCCCAAGGTTCCTACAGCAGTTCTCTGACAACAGAAAGGAAAAAAGCTTCTCTCCTTTTTTGCTTTTTCATTTCCTTCATCACCTCCTACACGCTTGGTGCCCAAATGCGAGAATTTAAAGAAAACAGTTTCCATGGAGACGCTCCCCTCCGCCAGCACCGCCCGTCCTCCCTCCCCTCGGCATCACTGCTCCTCCACGCTTCCAGGCTAAAAATATCGCAGACGGGATTTGATTTCCGCCGTAGCGATACACTTTTATCAGAAAAATAGGAAATTTATATTACACACACTCCTCCCCGGTGTGGAGGGAAGGCGTGCTCTCTGCAAGGAACGGGAAAACGAACCTGTTGTTATTAAAAAGAAAAGACAAAAGCAGGGGAGCAGCAGTCGGTGCCCAGCCCCACATCCCTGGCGCAGTCCGACCCGGCGCTGGCGTGCTCCTGCCTGCTTCTGCACCAGGGGCTGCGGAGGGGACCCGTGACCACCGCCCAGCCCGATGCCCCCTTCATTTCATTATTTGTATAAACCACTGGCGGATGGCACCGCA